TCCTGGATCTCCCTGCCTCAAAAGGCACTCCTTTTCCAGGGCCCCCACATGCATGGAACAGGGGTGCTCAAGGAGAACCTTGGAGCCCTTGGCTCTTCTTCCTCAGGCACACACAGCAGCTCAGCCCACCAGCCAATCACGCCAGCTCTGGCAGAAATGCAGCCGCACTCTGGTATCCCCACACACCGTCATCCTGGCCAAACCAATGTCCTCTCACGCAAGCCACAGGTTCAGGAGGGCCTAGGCTTCCACTCTCAGCACGCCGACCCAGGAGGACTTTCGCTCTAGCCAAAATCACACGTCACAGCAGGGCACAGTGGTGCACTCCTGTAATCCCAGTACTCCCGAAGGCAGAGGCAGGTGGATCTGTGAATTCGAGGCCAACCTGGTCTACAAAGTGAGTCCAGGACAGAGAAGTCCTGTCTCGAAATGTTTTTTAAAAACTCAGATGTCACCAGGCCCTGGACAAACCAGTCAGAGCTGGGTCACCTGCATAATCTGCTGGCTGTATCAGCAGTCACTCTGCCCACAGTGCCTTCAGACCATGACTGTCATTTCCCCAAGGAAATGTTCAGCCACACTGGCCTCCTTGGAGACTCCTGAAAATGGCAGGCTCTCCTCTCCTCTCCCCTCTCCGACATTCCCACCTGGAGCTCAGCAAATGTTGAGATTATTATCCCCTACCACCCTGTTGAAAGCAGCCTATGCCATGCTCTTTCTGGGCCTCTGGGTGCATTAGGTATTACTGAAGTATACGCAATTTGTGTCTGCTCTTTACCACCTGCCTCCTTCACCAGAATAGAAGCTTCACGAGGGCAGTGTCCCCCCAGCACCAGCACAGCGCCTACCACGGCAGGAAAACTCACGGGACACTGCAAGGGGTCAACTCCCTGAAGGTAGACGTTCATGGTCGGGTGAAGAGAGCACGAGGCACTTATCTTGGGCTCACAGATAAGTACTAGGGAAAGCAGGAGTGTTAAACATGCAGGGTTGTCTCTTCGGTGGAAGGGCTGTATAGCTGTTTTTGCTGGGAAAGCTGGGGATGGATTTGGTTAATAGCCTGGTAACTTGTACTGTGTATAGGCCCAGGCCACAGCTGACTCCCCCATGCCCCGCCATGTTTATCCCAGACTCTTCCTCCCTAGACCTTTATCGTGAGCAGTGTTTCTCAGTCAACAGAGCCCATTCTAATGGACTTTGCAAAAGAATTCTGACGTAGCCACTCCTTAAGCATTATTAGGATAACTGTCACCAGGAAACTTCTTTCCAAAGCTGTACTGTACTTAAACATGTGTAAAACAAACTGCTCAGTGTTGGGTTCTAGAAGTTTGAACCAACACCAGCTACTGACTCCTGTTGAGGGGGATTTCCTTCTTGCCTCCTGTGGATCTCAGATCGTTACTCTGATGGCCCTGGTGATTGCAGAGTTTCCCCCTACCCCCCACAGCTGAGTGTTACCAATCCAGACTTGGAGAACATTGTGGCAGTTCATTTAATGGTATCAATTTTCCAGGGAGTCCTTCTGGATAGGGGAAATTGAGCTATAAATCCATATGGGTCTAATTTTTTTTTTTTTTTTTTTTTTTTCAGTCTGCAAGGGCTGGGTTCTTCTAAAGCACAGGTTCTCAAATCTGTGCATTGTGACCCCTTTGGAGGTCACAGGGGTTGAATATCAGATACCCTGCATACCAGATGTTTACATTACAATTCCTAACATTAGCAAAATTAGCTATAAAGTAGCAAGGAGATGATTTTATGGCTGGGAGTCACCACAACATGAGGAACTGTATTAACGGTCGCAGCATTAGGAAGGCTGAGAACACTGTTCTAAAGTTTTCTTTAAAACCACTTTTCTTAGCTGGGTGTGGTGGTTCATGCTTTTAATACCACCACTCTGGAAGCAAAGGCAAGCAGACCTCAGAGTTCAAGACCAGCATGATCTACATAGTGAGTTGGAGGCCAGCCAGTGCTACACAGTGATACTTTGTTTCAAATCAATCAAACAAATTCAGTACTAGAGAGCTGGCTTAGTAGTCAAGAGCATTTACTTCTCTTCTAGAAGACCCAGGTTCAGTTCCCAGCACTCACAAGGTAACTTACAACTGTACCCAGTACCCACAAGGTAGTCTAACTTCACTTCCAGAGAATCTAGTGCCTTCTTCTGGCCTCCACAAGCACCAGGGATGCTCCTAGAACACATACATGCTGACAAAATACTCACACAGATGGAATTTTTTAAAATAAAATTAAAAACAAACAAACCACACATGAAAGCCTCAAATTAAAAAACAAAACAAAACAAAACCACAAAAACCTTTTAAAGTACCACACTGACTACAGAGGGTAGGTAAAATCCTTTAGAATGCCTTTTCTGAGCCAGGCTTGGTGGCTCACTCCTTTAATCCCAGCACTTGGGAGGCGGAGGTAGGTGAATCTCTTTGAGTTCAAGGCTAGCCTGGTCTGGTCTACAAATCAGGACAGCCAGGGCTTGATACAGAGAAACCCTGTCTCAAAAAACAAACAAAACAAAACAAAACAAAACAAAAAAAAAAAAAAAAAAAAAAAAAAAAAAAAAAAAAAAAAAAAAAAAGAATGCCTTTTCTGCCACTCTTACCAACCTGCCCATGGATGCCCTTTCAAGAACCGAGTAAGTCCATTACCAGCCCATCTCACAAGCCTCACTAACTCTCAACCCTGAGACCTAAGGCACTAGTCATCTCTGACCCATAAAGGGTTGTACAGATACCTCATACATATTTAAATTTGTGTTCCTCTGGGGTGTCCCTTCTCTGTCTTGCAAAAACTAAATTAAAAAATAGAAAATAAAAAGGAAAGAACATGATTACTCCTAGGTGTGGGTATGGTGGAGGAGAAAGTTTATTATTGATAAAAGGAAGCACATAGAGTCAGAGACATCTAGGAGAGTCTGGAATGGACGTGACCCTACGCCATATGAGACAGGGGAGGGGAAGGAAGAGAGAACAGGGAAACCAGGCGCAGCAGCCAAGAGGGCAAATGTACCAACAAGCCGGGTAACCAAAATGGTTGGATTATATAGAGAAGAGCAACCCGGGCCGCTGGGCTGAAGAGTTCAGGGTAGGGACTGAGGGATGCTGGAAGAGCCTGTAAGGTTCAATTTGATATGTTAAATGGGCACCTCAGCCATCTGTCCCAGAGTTTGAGACTTAACATATTTTAAGCCTGGCATGGTGGCACATGCCTTTAATCCCAGCACTTGGGAGACAGAGGCAGGCGGGTTGCTGTGAACTCGAGGTCAGCCTGGTCTACAAAGTGAGTCCAGGACAACCAGGGCTGTTATAGAGAAACCCTGTCTAGAAACAAAAAACAAACAACGTCTCTGCTGCCGGTTCAGCACTTCCCTACAGAAGTCCATACTGACTACGATATATCTACTCTCCTTTTCCCAAGCTGGACTGAGAACAAAGTGAGAATGCGAACCCTGCCTGTTGTTCAACTAGCAGTTTTCAAGGCCATCTGCAGAACACAGGTGTTGGACTTGCTCTCACCAGACTCAGGAGAGAGGACAGGTCAGCAAGCCCTGCATCCTGACTGGCCTGGGCACTAGGATAGCCCTAAGTAGAGATGTCCTGCCATCCTGAGGATGGAAGGGGCCTTATACAGTTATCTTTGTCTGCCCCTGCCCTTGCAACAAGATACATAAGTTAAAAGCTACCCCCTCTGCTCCTTCTTCTCCCCCACCTTTTAGGTCCACCAGCACACCGAGAACACATTCTAGTGTTGGGAAAAGTCAACCTTCTACCTAACTGGCATTCTTTGGGCTGCATCACACCTAGGAGACAGAGAAGATACTTGACCCGACCCAGGTGACCAACCTCTCCTTAGCAATTCAGCTCGGTATTGTTTTCCAGCCTCTTTCTCTCGAGGCCACAACCATATCAGTGTTCCCAGGCTGCTTTCTACAATGGAGACATTTATACACGAGCCTTGCCCTCTGGGACCTTACAAAGCAGAAAGGCGGACCTCTCTGCTCCCAGAGTTTTACAAAGGCCTTGGCAGGCATCCAAGGTCATCCCTCTCTAGATTCCGGTTCAGACCCTCAAGGGCAGAAGTACCACTTCCCCTCTCATCCTTGGGGGGAAAAAAAAGGCCAAGACCTAGTTCCAGACCACTTTTTCTCATTACAGTGTACGCAAACACAGGCCATAGACCTAGCATACAAGGGCAGACGGCGATGGAATCCGGATCTTCAAGGAAGCCACATTCTAGTTCAGCAGACATAGACATCCACAAGCAACTCCTACTAAGTGCCATGACCGGGGAAGACCAAGACATCAGCACTGTGTCAGTCCTGGAAGATCCAAAGACACATGGGTATGCTGTGCACACGTGTAACAAGGACGCAGGAGGAGGAAGACTGCAGCAAACCGGTGGAGATCCAGTCCACCGTCTGGAGCTAAACCTCTCACTCTCCCCTTAGAGAAAGAACCCTGAGTGAGGCCAAAGGGGAGCCTGGTGAACTGGGAGGCAGGACCAAAACCTCAAGCCAGCCTGCCTCTGCCGCTCACCAGTTGTGTGACCTCGGTTTCCCCATCTGTAGGACAGAAATAACTATGGTACCTAGGTATCTTCTGGGGCTGCTACGATTTTATGAAAGCGAGGCGGTCCGCACAATGCTGGAGACACACAGCGCCACTTCCACAAGCCGGGCTATTTATTATCAGTCGTGCCCGCCCTCCGGACGGCCCGCTTGGCGGCGCCACGTCCCCTTCCGGCTCGAGGACGCCCGCACTCCGCAGGACCCCGGCGCCCTTGACCCCCAAGAGGCCCGGCCCGCAGCGCGCACGCGCAGTCCTGGGGACGCGCCAGCCTGCCCCCGGGTCTCGCGCGCGCTGCGGGCACCCACTGGCCTCCGGGGCGAGGGGTCTACACTCTGCCATCCAAAGACAACCGCTCCTGCACCCGAGGGCACACCCGACCTCCCAACCCTGCCAGCCCGGAGAGCCGGTCGGTCTCCTCACACTCTGGAGCAGGCTCCTCCTCTGCGCCGCCATCTTGGAGGACCCCGCGGCGCGCCAGTCTCTCTGATTAGCGCAATGGACGGCTAGAGCGGCTACGACTGCCCCCCCCGCCCGGAGCGTAGCCACAGCGCCGCCTGCGGAGCGGAGGAGGTACCGCAGAGGAGCCTTGCGCAGGCGCCTTTCTCTACCCACGCACCGCCATGCGGAAAGAATGCTTAGCGCCTTCACAATCTACTTTCTTCAACTTTCTTCTTTCTTGGAGTGTTTATGCGTGCGCTTTCTCCCGGATTCTTTCTGATGGGGATCCTGAGATCCTATTTAAAGCGCTTTATGGAGGAAGGGACAGCGGAGAGCGAATGACTCAGTCTGTAAGACCCTTGGGTGCCTGCCTGCCTGCCTGCCTGCCTGCCTGCTGGTGTAGTGGAGGCCACACTGAGCCAAACTAGCTGACATTAGGATTGGGGAAGACGGAGCTTGGAGAGATGGCTCAGAGGTTAAGATCCCCGGCTGCTCTTCCAGAAGTCCTGAATTCAATTCGCAATAAACACGCGGTGGCTCACAACCATCTATAATGAGATATGGTGCCCTCTTCTGGCGTGCAGGCATACATGCAGGCAGAACACTGTACCTAGAATTAATTAATTTAAAAAGAAAAGAATCGGGGAAGACTGCAGTTCTGAGTAGTTGTAAATGTTGAGTATTTTGTTAAAGCAACAGAAAATGGCCTTACAGTGGGGATGGGACGAAGTAATGTCAAAGGTCCCTGCAGATTTTTCGCAGGAGCAGGTAGATTTATGGGGAAAGGCAGGGAGTGAGCGTGAGTTCAACTCCAGCATTCTGAGTTTGGGGTGCTTTTGAGATGAGAAGACAAGTCAGAAGGAGGCTAGAGAACAGAGCAGAAGCTGAGCGTGCAAAAACAACACAGATGGAGCAGCTGAAGGGACAGGGTGGCAAGAGTGGACAGGGCACAAAGAGGACAGACACAAGGCAACGGTGTGAGATCGTTTGGAAAGATTCGATTGGCAGAGAAATGGATTTGATTTAGAGGCCCTGAGCTGAGACCATCTGCGTGGAGGATACAGCTGTCATGCGATGAGTGAGTCGAGGACTAGCTAGGAGTAGAGCCTCAAGAGACCTGGACAGTGGAGGTGGCAAGAGTTTGTGAATAGTGAAACGGAAGACAAAGACGGGATCATGGGATTGGAGGGAGCCTATTGTTCTGTTTTTCAGACACGGTTTCTCTGTATGGCCCTGCCTGTTCTGGAACTCTGTAGACCAGGCTGGTCTTGAACTCAGAGATCCACCTACCTCTGCCTCTTTAGGGTTGGGAATAAAACACCACCACACCCAGCTTTTGTTTGTTTTGATCTTAGCTTTCTTAAGGCTTAGCAAATGTTTGCAACATCAAATTGGTTAAAGGCCCAAGCAGAAACGAAACAATGTGTTGGTCAACTGAGGAATCTGATATATACCTATCCCATAGTCCCCAAGGGATTAAGTGGAGAACAAGTGTAGGGCTCACTCCCTCCCCTCAATCCTCTTTTCACACCTCTAAAATGGGTCCTGTTTTCCCCAGGACAAAAGGACATGTCATAATGGGATTTTCTTTGCTAAGTTCAAGAAATGCATCTACTGCAATGGCTGGTCTTGAAAACCATTTAAACAGTCAGAGCTGGCTCTGGGCCTACCATGGGTGTCCAGATAGGCAGGCTGCTACAATGTGGCTCACAACTGACTGTATTCCCAGCTCCAGGGAGTCTGACACCCTCATCTGAACCCCAAGGGGAAATGCTTGTGGTGCACATACTTTCAGGCAAAACACTCATTCACATGAAAAAATCTTTTTTTTTTTTTTTTGAGATAGGGTTTCTCTGTACAGCCCAGACCAGCCTTCAACTAAAAGATTCACCTCCCTTTGCCTCGTAAGCACTAAAATTAAAGGTAAGTACTACCACACTAGATCTAAAAATAACCTTTTTGGTTTGGTTTGGTTTGGTTTTTTTTTTTTTTTTTTTTTTTTTGAGACGGGCTCTCTCTGTGTAACCCTGGCTGTCCTGGACTCACTGTATAGAGCAGGCTGGCCTCGAACTCACAGAGATCCGCCTGCCTCTGCCTCCCAGAGTGCTGGGATTAAAGGCATGCGCCACCAGCTAAAAATAACATCGTAGATAGCAGTAAGTTGCCAGGGTTGGCACAAGCAGGTGAACGTGAGTCTGAGGTCAGCCTGGTCTACATAATGCATTTCAGGGCAGCTAGGGCTCTGTAGTACCATGTCTCAGAAACACAAAGCAAAACAAAAAAAGCAATAAGTGCTCCTAACTGTCGAACCATTCCTCCAGCCCCATGTTCCCTTTCTGACACACTAGCATTTACATTTCTACACTTCTACATGGCCAGATCAATGTTTTCCTTTATGGGCTCTCTTGTGGGTTAAGCTGGAGGAGAAAAAAAAAAAAAAAAAAAAAAAACCTTCCATGCCTTACATTTATATAAATGTTCACATAAGCGATCATCTTTGCTCCGTTTGGAATTATTTAAAACTTTAAAAAACGGGGGGGAGGGGGGGGCGGGGATGTGTGTGTACATGCCAGTGCGTCTGTGTGGAGATCAGGGGATAACTTTTGGGAATCAGTTCTCTCCTGCCATGTAGGTTCTGGGGACCGAACTCACGTCACCAGGCTAGGCAGTAATCACCTTTGCCCACCGAACCATCTTGCCAGCCCTGTCTGAAATTCTCCCGTTTTCTCTCTATTTATTTATCTTTATGTGCACTCAAATGTCTGCGCACCATGTAGAAGTCAGAAGAGGGAGACAGATCCCTCGAACTAGAGTTACGTGCAGCTGTCAGCTACCATGTGGGTGCTGGAATTTGGACCTTCATCCTCTGCAAGAGCAACGAGTGCTCTTGACTGCTGTGCCAACACTCCAGCCCCTAATTGGAATTTTTAATGGAGCCACTTTTACTGTTCCCTCCAGAAAGCCAAGCTCTTGGGAAATTCATCTGGTGAGCAGAGTCTCCTCATTCCTCCACCACTTTAAGATGCTATCTTTATTGGTTTTGTAAAACTTGCACACTAGTATCTTTGTTTTTAAAGCTCCCACCTCATCTCCGTGAGTTTAGGGCCAGCCTGGTCTACAAAGCGAGTCCAGGACAGCCAGGCCTATTACAAAAAGCCAAAAAGGAAAAAAAAAGTTCCCACCTCTGCAGGGATGCTCTGGTATTAAATGCAGAAGCCTCAGCCTTGCTGAGCTCAGAAGCACCAGGTCCCCTCTGAGCATCTTTGTCCCCTTCACCTCCTGTGCCATCTGCTGTCATTTCCGTGGCTCTGGTGTAACCTAACAGATTGACAAGTATGCCTGGGACCTGGGTGGCCACAGTGGAAGTGAAGAGGCCAGGACAGAAAGGCACTGTGGGTATGTGCATAGACCAACTGTGCACAATTAGCGAGGCTGAGCACAGCTTAGGGGATTCTGTCCTAAGCATGAAGCTGAACTTCCATCTGCTTCGACAGCAAGTATGGGGGAGCCTTGCCAAGGAAAACAGCAAGAATTCAGTCTTGAGCACATTAGCTTGCAGATGTGAACTACTCTTGGTGAGAGCAGCCAGGAGCTCATGTGCCTCTGGTTAGAGGTAAACATGGGGAAAGGGGAATGGGCCAGTGTGAAGTGACCCGGCAATCAAAAAGGCTGTCTCTGGTCCTAACCCTGTTTTCTCTGCACTCTAATTGGATGGAGACCTACTGTGATCATTTACATCTGGCCTGAGGCTTGCTGAAGTAGCAACTCAGGCAGCTAAAAAACAAACATAGACAACTACAGCCTAGAATAAAAACAGCAGGCCCGTTTGACATTTCTACAATCACTGGACAAATGGCTTCCTAAAATCTGCAGCCAGTCTTGTGTGTTTCCCTGGTTTAACTCTTTTCCTGGCTGTCCTGAAACTCACTCTGTAGACCAGGCTGGCTTTGAACTGTCTCTGCCTCTGGCGTGCTGGGATTAAAGGCATGTGATACCAATACCCAGCTTCTGGGTTAACGCCTGTATTAACGCCCTGTACCGGTAAGCTGGCTGCAGGTAAAAGCAGTTGCTACCAAGCCTGACAACCTAACATCAGTCCCTGGGACCCACTTGGTAGAAGAGGAGAATTCCAGCTTTTAACAAGAGGACCCTTACTGACTTGGCCCTTCTCTGTGGAGAGGTACTGCGTGTAATGCTTTCCGTTCCTGTGGCTCTGGTCTTAGTTTCCACCTATTAAGTCATCAATGTATGTGAACACTTATTTTTCTGGACAGGGTCTCTCTATGTAGCTCTCACTGTCCTGGAACTGGGACAGTGTTTCAGGTTGGCCTGGAATTCACGGTGATCCACCTGCCTCTCCCTCCCAAGCTCTGGGATTAAAGGTAGTGTCCTCACGCCCAGCCACACAAAACCAACGATGCGACACAGCAGCGGCCAGCGTATGTGACTCAGTAGGCAGGGTTTGCCTGGCAAGCACTGAGCCCTGGGTATCACCTCCAGCCCAGCCTAAGCCATGCACCTGTAATCCTAGCACTTGGAAAGTAGTGGCAGGAGAGTCAGAAACTCAGTCATCCTTGGGATCATAGAGTATATAGCAAGGTCAGCCTGGGATACACAAGAGCCTGTTTTAGGACAGGGAAGTAGGAAACCAGAGAGGCTGCTCAGGAACTTTGTAAGGGTGGAGAAGAGGCCTAAGAGGCTATGTCCTAGAGGGCACCACCCATTCCTGATCCAAGAAAAGTAGGTGACTAGTGAAAAGCCTGAGGACTTTGAATCCTCTTGGAGGAAATGGCTTCCCATTTGGTCTGGAAGCCCTCATAAAAGGCTTAGGAAGTTATCATAGCTGGGGAGCAAAGCGGACAGATAATGAGCAAGGGAGAAATCTCCACCAACCCAGCAACATGTAGAACTGGAGAATATTCACCCTAAGAGCAGGCCCTAAGGGCTAGAGAGGGGTTCAGCAGTGTGTGCCTTGGCCCAGCACTGCCAACAAACACACAAACAAACAAAAAAAAAGTAACTGAGCAGGCCAAGAATATCCAACTTATGAAACTCAACATAATGACCTTAACAAAAAGAAGCCAAGCCCCCAGTAGGTTTCAAAGCAGGACCCAGTGTGGGGAAGCCAGGTTCTGCTCACGTGACCCTGTGAAATGGTCCAGCTCCTCTGTAAAATGGGACCTCTCATGGATGCTGAAAAATATGAAGTTGATTTTGCTCTACAAGATGTTCAGCATTGCTCTAGCTCAGAGCCAAGTGCAGCTAACTGGTGAGGAGGCTACAAGGAGAAAACGGAGGTCCATAATAGAATAAAGGAGAGATAGAGGGGCTGGAGTTAACGTTCTGAGCAGGGGCAAACCTGTGGGCATGCTGCCTACGTCATCAGATGGGGTCCTAATCTCAGAATAAGTCTGGTACTCGATTCAGTGCTCTGCCTTAGCCACCCTGAAACTCTAAATAACTTTATGCATACATGTTTATGTGTGTGCATATGTGTGTCAGTGTGTGCATGTGTGTTCATCTGATTTTGTATGTGGAGGCCTGAGGTCTAGCATTATGTGCCAGTCCTCAGGAGCTGTCACTTTCTTTTTTTGTGAGACAGGTTTTTTCTTTTTTTTTTTTCCCCCTGAAGCATTCAGCTAGACAGGCTGCCAGCAAGCCACAGCGTCCGCCGTCACCATCTGCCTACAGCCCTGAGAATACAAGCTATCAGTGCTCGCCACCACACCCAGCCTTTTTTTGTGGATGCTTGGGATCAAACTCAAGTCCTCATGCTTGCACACCAAGGACTTCACCAACTGAGCCATCTCCCCCAGCCTCTGATTGTACCATTCGCTTATATTTTATAAGTAAATTCAGTATACAAAGCAGCAAGCCCAGGAGCAGAGGAGACATGCCAGATGGCACTGAGCAGGCTCAAGCCAGCAGCACAGTGGGTGGCGGGTAGCACAGGTGCCTAGGAGTTAGCCTGTCCACCTGGCATGCACTCATGGCTGGGCAGTCTGTGATGCCGAGGAGCTGCAAGGGAACGGGAAGCCAGGATCTGTGCCCAAGTGGACAGGAACAAAAAATAAAACAAACAAAAGAAAAACAGCAGAAGCCCACCATGGCAAGAGCTTTCATGAAGAAAGGGCCTGACCCTGGGGTTTGCACAAATGCAGCTCTGGTGCCTAGGATTGGGCAGCACAGCCAACCGTAAGGTGGGAATCTTTGACAGCAAATTGTAAAATAAAAGATACACCTGAAGGTTGCATTGAAGCACTGGGTTTGAGTCACACAACCAAAAAGAAGGAAAGTTGTTTTTTGTTTTTTTAAACATGTATGGGTGTTTTGCCTGCATGTTTATCTAGGAATCACTTGTGTGCTTGGTGCCCGGGGAGAACAGAAGATGGATCTCCTGGGACTGGAGATATAGACAAGTGTAAACTACCATATGAGTCCTAGGAATTGAACTCGGGTCCCTGGAAGAACTACTATAATCCTAGCGCTGAGCAGGAGGCAGGATCAAAAGGTGGATGACCAAGTTGGCAGCCTGCTTGTTATCTAAGTAGGAGGGTCTCTGAGTTTGGATTAGCAGCAGCCATGCAAAATATTGAGCTTGGTGCTGGGAGGGTGTAGAGAAAAAAAAAACCCTTAGACCTCTTCTGGTATTGGTCAGCTCGTCTTTCTGGAATTGGTGAACCTCAGATCCACTTGAGACCCTGTCTCAAGGAAATAAAGTGGAAGCCAGGCGTGGTGGTGCATGCTTGTAATCCCAGCACTCAGGGAGGCCAACACAGGCAAATCTCTGTGAGTTCAAGGCCAGCCTGGTCTACAAAGTGAGTCCAGGACAGCCAAGGCTACAGAGAAATCCTGTCTCGAATGAATGAATGAATGAATGAATAATAAATAAGGTGGGCTGGAGAAATGGCTCAGTGACTGCTCTTGCAAAGGAACTGTGTTCAAATCCCAGCACCCACATAGCAGTTCACAACTGTCTGTAACTCCAGTTCCAGCGGATTTGACACCCTCACACAGACATACATGGAGACAGAACACCAATGTAAATGAAATTTAAAAAAAAAAAAGAAGAAAGAAAAGAAAAGAAGGTGGAGGGTTGGTGAGATGGCTCAGTGGGCAGAGGTGCTTGTCTCACAGATGCGGCTCGCTGAATTCAATCCTCTAAACCCAACAGAAGGTGAGAGAAGAGAAGAGACAAGGCACAATTGTCCTCTGAGTCGCACATGCATATCACGGCCTGCCTGCATGTCTCTCTCTCTCTCTCTCTCTCTCTCTCTCTCTCTCTCTCACACACACACACACACACACACACACACTGTCCAAGTTTACCTGATGCTATACAGCAAATTTGAGGCAAGCCTTGGACACATGAAACTTTGTCCTGAAAAAAACCCAAGTTAACCAAACAATAATAAACAAAGAAAACTTGGCCCAGGTCAGGGGAGACGGAAGCCACACTCGGGGCAGCAAAAGAAACACAGCGACACAGTCCACTGGCGTGTTGGAGTCTTCACTTTATTACTATGTCACCAGAAGTCACCACCTTCACTTGGTTGACCACAGATGGATGGATGTCATAAAGGAGGGTGCCGAGGGGCCACTGGATCCACTCTGGAGAGGCTTAACCAGGTGGGGGAGGGTCTAGAGCAGGGCCCAAGTTGGGGGCCGCCCATCACCGCACTCGCAAGCACACACACACACACACACACACACACACACACGCACACACACGCACACACACGCGCTCTCACACATACACACAGATATATTGTGGAGCCTTATATTATACATCTTATATATAGAAAATATATATATTTATACTATACACAGGCAGTAACGCTGCGGGAGGGGCCGGGGCACCCAGACAAGAGCTGTGGGCACCAGGGGGCGGGAGTATAGGTCAGGGGTAGCACTGGGAGATGGCTAGCCCAGTCCCTCCTCCATAAACTCTGGGGACTCCTGCTCACACTCTTTAGAGATGAAAGGGCTTATGGATCAAAGGTTATTAGAGGCGCCCCAGGGGTGACAAGGGGGAGCTCTTGGTTACATGAGAAAAGCCTGGAACCCCAAGTCTTTGAAGATCAAGAATTGTTAGGGGCAGATGGAGCAGAGACTGGTGCCAGTCCCCTGAGAATGAGCCCCTTGGTTGCTACATCCCAGGTGGATCAGGTGCCACCCAGGCAAGATGGCCTGTGACTGCACAGGACAGGTCACCTCAGAAGGCAGAAGACGGGGCTCCCAGTCTCACTCTGTGCTTGACCTTCGATGAGATATCATTCTCCCAAAGACCCCTGCAGCTCTAAACTCGTGTGGAACCCAAGTTTCCTAGACCTTCTTTTGTGCTTGATGGGAAAAGGGAACCCCAATTCCATAGGACCCAGCTGTGGGGGACCCTCTCCAAGGAGAGTGTGGGAGGAAAGCAGAGGCAATGGAAAGGAGAAGCTAATCCGGGGTGCTCTGGCTGTGGGGGTGCGACCCCTCCTAAACCACTGAATCAGAAGCCTGGGTCGCACACAAATCCTCCTCAGGCCTCTCGCCACGCTGTCTGATATCACGACCATGATGGCGGCACGCACCTGGAGCGAGGGGAGAGGCTGAGGTCCCAGTGGCTCAGCTCCTCCTGGTCCTATACACTTCCCCAGCCTGAAGATGAGGAAGAGGATAGATGCCCAAGGCTGGGCAGAGTTTAACCAGCACCCTGCCCTCTGCCTGACACCACCAGCTGCCTGTTGCCATCCAGGGAGAAACAGATGGGCGGTCCTCGGGTCTCTAGTGCCCACCAGAAGGGAAGGCTCTGAGTCTGGAGTAGCAAAACCCAGGACTTTTCACAGCCTCTTGGTGACGCACAAACACGTCTGTAGCCACGGTCTCCCCTCCGGTCTGGTATCAGTTAAGTCACACATTGTCCAAGCTGTTCCTACTTGGGTCACCGGGGGAGGGGGGGAGGGGCACTGGGCTGTACACGGAGCCTCTTCCCAGGTGTGGAAAATGGAAGTTAGCAACAGCCAGCTGTCACTCAGCCACCTGGGTCACTCTCCCAACACTGTGGGCCCCAAGCAAACCTGGAGACCCCAGTTTGGATCCAATTTCCAATGCTAACTCTCTATGCTCCCAGTTCTGAGGACTGGGAAAGTTCTATTTCCCTTCCTAGTTTGCCTCAGCTTCCCCTTCTGATCAGGGGGTGGCAGTGCTCCTTCTAGGCCTCTGACACTCCTGCCCTTCCAACTGTCTTTCCCCAGGCCGGCACTCAAGCCATGTTTCCCACCGTATCGGGCCCTGTGCCTATGTGCGTTCCAGTCTCCTTGAGGACGGACACCCTGGGCGACGCCACACCAACGTGGGTACCGGAAGAGCAAACCTGCCTGGGAGCATCCTGTGGAGCATGGGATGAGGTGGTGGGGACACACCTGCCCTGCTTCCCAAGGAAGCAGCTGGTGTATCTTAGGATGGCACAGACAGCCTCCCTCTGGGTTCCCTGTCGCAGGAAGGGAAGCACCTAGTGTGGAAATGCCTCCTAGCTGTCCCCTTAGGCCCCACCCACTTTCCTTTCTGCCTTTGAGACAACCTGCTCTTCTCTTTCCTACGGTCCGAGGTCTCTCTGAGACCCCTCCGTAGTGTCTCACTGTGCGCCATCTGGTGGGTAGTGTAACCCGTGGCTGCTCAAACTGACCCTGTAATTCAAAGCTCCTGGCCTGGCCCCCCACTGCTCAGCCCTGAACCCTTGCTCACCCAGACAAGCAGAGAGAGGACAGTGTCCCAGGTGGTGACAAGGGCGCAGCCCCTCGCTGGGTGCTTGGAGCCAATGAACGCAGGCAGCAAGGCCAGCTCCACCGCTTGCTCGCTGGGACCTTGGGCCAGTCTCCACCACCTCCTGGCCTCCTGTCTACCCAGCCCTGAACGGAGGAGGCTCAGTGAGCCCTCCAAGAGGCAGGGATGGTCACCACTCCTTTGGGAAACTGCAAAGGGGGGGGGGTTCTGGCACACCCCGAAAGAGTTCCTTGTGGGACATGTTGAGTATGGAGCAAAACAAGGGGGACAAGGGCAGCTTGGGGGGGCCCTCTAGGAGAAGACTGAAACTGAGGAAAGGACCCGCATGGAGGAAAGCAACTGAGGCAGAAGAGGACCTTGGCTTGAGCCAAATCATGGTGTCTCATGGGACTCAGGTCTTAAAGCGCTGCCCCCACCCACCAGCCCACCCCAATTAGAGTAACACTGAGTGGTACAGCCTGGGTGTAGGGACAGGAAATGAGGAGAAGGCTGGCTGAGCTCTGGCTCATCTTGATGTGGCCTCAACATCGGCCCCTTGGCCGACCTTGGACAAGGTACCTTGACCTCTCATTTCCTCACCCGTAAGATGGGGATAGCTCCGGCAGTCCAAGGAGGACAGTTGTCTATCAAGGATTCCGGGAATGATGGCCCGCCTCCTCTGACTGACCTCACTCAACACGTGGCTGAGCTCCCTTGCAGCCAAACTTCCTGTCCACCTGTCCCACCTTTCCCCTATCTCTCTCTCTCCCTCCCCAGCTGAGCAAGGCCTGGTATACAGTAGGTGCTCAGTGAATGCCAAAGACACAATGAATGACCATAACCCCTGGGCCCCACCCTCTAGATCCCTGCTGGGCACACACTTGCACACACATGTGGACACACCCAGCCTGGCTCCCTGACACCCCCGCCCCAGCTGCACTGGGCCTCAGTGAAGTCACCCGGAGGCTGAGCAGGTACTAGGCAGGGTCACCTGGGAGGGAGCAGGGTGTTAGGGAAGGGAGCTAGGATGGAAGGGCAGCAGCAGGGTTAGGCGGTCACTGTCACCACCACCCGGGGGGGGGGGGGGGGGAGGAGATGCTCAGTAGCCCTGCGACTGGTAGCCCTGGGGCTCAGCATCGAAGGCGTTGGCTGGATGCTGGTAGGTGCCACCCATGCCAGCAGGATCCTGCCCAGCGCTGGGCTCAACGTAGGGCGCGTAAGGCATGCTGGAGTCCTGGCTGGGATCCATGTAGTCCTGGGAGAAGAGGGCCGAGTCGGCGCCAATCTGGTACCGCTGGAACGCCAGCACAGCCTGGCCCGCCTGGGATGGGGGCAGGTGGGGTCGAGGACAGGTCGGGGGTGGTGGTTAGGGGAGAGACAGACAAGAGTATTGGGTTAGTAGAGGTTAGTTGACAGACTGCAGAGGGTTACAGACGTTCCAAGCCCCAAGCCTGACTGAGGGGAAGGAATGTTCACACAGCCAGCCAGCCGGCCAGCCATAAAGAGCCTCAGAAATCACCTGCCCCAAGACCGCTCTGCTTTGGAGGGTTAAGATGGCCCAAAGACCCACAACCTGCTCCCCAACTGCATCCACAGGGGTGTTATGTGAACTGGGGGAGAAGGCTGCCTACAACGGAGAACTCTTCCCAACACCTAAGAGCCATCTTTCCGTTTCTGTTTGTAGCGGGGCACAGTCTCGAACTTAACTCCCGGCCAACGATACACAGCCATGTTCTTCCCACTCTCTGATCTAATGCCTGAAAAGCAGAAGTGATAGCTGGAGCTTTAGTTGCTAAAACACACTGGGGTGGAGGATGGGTAAGAGACGGGGACTGAAGATGCCTAGATCAATGACGACATCCAGAGCCACTATGCAGGCCTCACGCCACCTCTCCAGCCTTGGGAACTTGTTTTAAGTCATTACTATTTGGAATTGAAATCACTTGTCGCCGAAGCGAATTTCAGCTTCGATGCTTGGTCAGGCAGTTTGGGGACAGAACTAAACAGTAGAGCATGTTTCAGAACCGCAGGACCTCTCAGAACCGTGACTGCTGGAGCCATGCTGGGTCCTGTTTCTCTCAGCACACAGTCAGGGAAAAGTCTGGCTGCCGCCACATGCAGAGAGAGGACGAGGATGCTGACCGTGGAGAGCTAAAGGGCGCACCAAATCTGTAATTCGCAGAGAAAGTCTTCCCTAGACCTTTCTAGCCCCCACTCTTACGTCATGGCTGGGAAGATGAAGGCAGAGTGGAGAGGGATCCATGGCAAAGAGTGCTGAAATTCAGCCCTAACCATCGGCGTCCTGGCCTGGGAGGGCCTTGAGGAAGGGTCAGGGCTCTCTGGGGCTGTGGTTAGCGGGCAGGAGAGACTTAAAGACCAAGCTCTCCCTACTCCGCCCCCCCCAACTTCATGATGCCTGCACAGAGGCAGGAGGCTGGAGCAATGACTTCCACAGACTTCCCAGGGAGAGGCCTCCCACTAGAGCAACGGTCCTCAACCTATGGGTCATGACCCCTTTGGGGTTTGCCTATCAGAGATCCTGCTTATCAGATATTTACATTATGATTTATAACATTTGTAAAATGACAGTTATGAAGTAGCAACGAAATCACTTTATGGGCCTGGGCATGGTGGCACACTCCTTTGATCCCAGCACTTGGGAGGTAGAGGCAGGCCTGTCTACAAAGTGAGTCCAGGACAGCCAACACGAGAAACCCTGTCTCAAGCAAACAAAAACTTTTGTGGTTGGGGTCACCACAGCATAAGGAACTGTATTAAAGGGTCACAGCATTAGGCACATTGAGAAGCACTGCACTAGAAGCTCTGGAGACTGTGCCTGAGACTAGTTTAGTTCCTGTCCCTATGTCAATGCCCCCCATGGCCAGCCAGTACAAGAGGCCACGTATAGGAAAAGAGAAGGACATGGCCCAGCAGAGCCGTAGAGAGGAGGCTGAGGGACTGTGCCCAGCTCTCTGGGACCTGTACTCCACTTGGCACCTCATCGGGCAGCAGGCTGTCTGCACTGGCATCCCTCCAATGCCTGCAGCCTCACTCTGCACTCAGCTACAGGAAAGCAGCAGCGTGCCCTGCAGGGACTACAGGCATAGGTGGGTGCTGCCCGGGCTCTGGAGGCCCGAAGGAGGCACTGAGTATCTGGAGGCAAAAGTCTTTTGGCAGAACAAGTATTTACTCCAAGGACAAGAACAAGTATTTACTCCCCAAGGAGGGCTTATGGAGATGCACCTGACCCCAAGGCATGCATGCATGCATGAATGAATGAATGAATGAATGAATGAATGAATGAATGAAATTAATGAGTGAATGAACAAATGAACAACAGAACTGATATCTATTGAGCATCCTTGTGCCAAGCCCTGTGCTGGCCCTTGTTCAACCTACTCAGCTGCCTGAAGAAGTTGATCCATTATCAGTCAGGCTAGGAAAACTGAACGAGACTCAGAGGAGAGCAAGAATTTGCTCTTGGTCACACAGCACAGGAGAACTGAGCCAGGCCAGAGATCCTCTAGCACTCCAGGCCAGCCCTCTGAAGGCAGCCAGCCCAGGAAGACGATAATCTGTCCTTTTGCACTACAATGGACAGGTTATCAATGTCCATAGCTCAGCCCCTTCCATAAGGCACTTCACACCTTCTGACAGCCCACCCCACTTTGTGGAAGCTTGGCTATCGATCCCTCCCCAGCTAATAGGCTCCTGGGGCCAGGGACCTGTCTAATCCACACAGGCACAAAACAGCTGCTCAATAAACATTTACTGAAGGAACAAATGCAAAGAATAAACAAAGAAAGCAATACAGCATGAGAGAGGCAGTGGTGAGCCATAGCTCACTCCTCCAGCTAGCCTCATCCCGTCCTTCCTGCCCTAGTGGTCAGGCATCTCCAGTCCTGGGCCATTCCTGCAAATGGGCCCTGCTGGGGTGTAGAGTCCCTGTCCTTCGGAGGCTACGGTTGTGCCGAGGCAGGGAACAGTGTGTTGTACTCCTCCTGGAAGGTAAGCTCCTTGAATCTGCGTACGGCCAGGGCTGCAGTCAGGCTCTGCCGGAGAGAGCGGGGGTGAGGCCACTGAGGAGGCGGAAGGGCAGAGCTGCCTCAGGAAGGCCAGGTGCGGGCAGCAGCACCAGTCTGCCAGGTGTTGGCCCTCAGGCCAATCACTGTGTTCCTGTCGGCCCCAGCCATCTCAGCCAGAGGCAGGGATGGGGGACATCCTACTTTTAGGGTACCTTCCTCCCAAACGAGATCCCCCTGGGGTCATCTTGATCTTCCTGCCCAGTCCTGAAGAATATCAAGAGCTATACGGTGACCATGGCTCACCTCTGGGACCTGAACCTTAAAACCCTATCTCTCAATACGGGGGTATGCAGAGTGACCCAGAAGATGGCTGTTGGGGTCCTCAAAATAAAAGGGAAGTTGAGCCAGGCACAGTGGTGCACTTCTGTAATCCCAGTACTCTGGGATCTCTGTGAGTTCGAGGCCAGCCTGGTCTACGAAGTGAGTCCATGCCAGCCAAGGCTACACAGAGAAATCCTGTCTCAAAAGAAAAAGAAAGGAAGGGGAGGGGAGAGGAGGGGAGATAAGGGGAGGGGAGGGGAAGTCACTGAAAGAAGAGTGGGGGCAGGGAAAGCCCACTGTGTGCAGCTCAAGGGTTGAAGTACAGGGACCTCTGGCCAGAGCAGTGAGGGAAAAGAGGGAGCTGCTGAGACCCCAGCCTCTCCACAGGAGGGAGATTAGGAAAGGAGGAAACAGACATGAATAGACCCACGCAGAGGGGCTAGCCTTGCTATGGCATGTGGAGTCCTTGAGACCTTGGGCTAGCCCTGAAAAGAACAGCCTCTAGCATGTTGGACCTAGGTACACTCCATATGCAAGTGTTTCGTTTTGTTTTGTTTTTTCCTGTTTGTTTGAGACAGGGTTTCTCTGGTAGCCCTGGCTGCCCTGGAACTCAATCTGTAGCACAGGCTGGCCTTGAACTCAGAGATCCACCTGCCTCCAGAGTACTGGGATTAAACTCGTGGCCACCACCGCCCAGCCTAAAAGTAAAATTCCTTAAAAAGACACAAAATAAATAAGCCCACTGCTAAGGGACTGAGCCGAAGTTTCCTTGTTTGGAAAGCAGAGCCAATAGGAAGCTTTCCGCTGGAGTCGGGAGACCTCCCTGAAAACAGAGCAGCAAAGGCTTTGGCACATGCCCATGGAGGCTGAGGCAGGAGGCTCGTGAGTTCAAGGCCAGCCTGCGCTACACTGTGATGTCCACGCCCCACTCTCAGGAAAGCTGCTCCACAGCCAGGCAAGGGCTTGCCTTGCTCAGGGAGGCTGCAGGTGGTGCTGGAGCAAGTTTCCCTCCAGGAAGCAGGGTTCGCTCAGCCTATCTACTCCACAGGCCTTAGCTTGGGCTTGGCTGGGACTCTATGGGCACTGTACTCACCCAAGTGAAGATGGAGAAGAAAGAGAAGGCGATGGCAGCCCGGGCTGCGTCCGTCCCTTCGTTCAGAGGGTTGTCCTTGGGCTTGGAGACTTGCCACTGGTTGGCCAGGAAGCAGAACCCCACGAACCAGAAGAAGGCCCAGAAGGCTGGGGTGCCCAGGGTCGGATGTCAGTGACGTACACAGAGAAAGGGGGAGAAAACAGGGCACCAAGGAATAGAGTGTGATCCCATGCTCCCTGACCCACAAATGACGGGCAAGGGGGGTGAGCAGAGAGAAGGAGCCAGATTTGGAAGGACACAGAGTTGGGGTGGGGGAGACCACAAAGAGGGCAGGTCAAAGACAAGTGGACTCAAAGGGCCTGGAGTACAGGGCGGAAGGTGAAAAGGTGGGACGCGGCTAGGTTTGGAAGGCCAGCTGCTAATGCATGGAGCAGGATGCAGGGACCCTGCCCAGACTTCTAGAGAACTGGGGGAGGGGGCTGGGAAAGGACAATAGTGGCTGCCCAGGCTGGACCTCCACTTCCCCCTATGTGCAGCTTCCAGAGGCCCCCCTAAATGGAGCTTCCTCTGAAGCTGATGTGTGGGCTGGGTGAAGGGGACAAGGCCTTCTGTGTATCCGTCCGGAATGGAGGAAGCATGCACCAGCCTGCCCAAGACGAGCTGCTAGGAACTCCACGGAAAGGAGGGAGCATTCATCTAGCCCGAGTTCATTCGTTCTAGAAGGCCAAGGGGGCCTCAGGCCTGGAAGCAGGGGCCACGATCCTAATCATACTAAAAGTGCCCGCCAGGCTAATTCTGGGACTCCCAAGGGTGGGACACTGGCAAAGGGTGGCATTCCTGCCCAGGGTCAAGGGAAGAGGGGATTCCAGGCTCCCCAGGGAGGGGTGCAGAAGGACACCGAGACCAGAGCTGACTTAACCCGCTCCCCTTGTCAACCATGGCCCCTAGCCTGTCACTTCAGGGAAGGGTGGGGAGGAGAGCTCTCAGCACGTGGTTAAGGGGTACCCGGAGGCAGGCTCACCCGAGACGCCGATGTCGGACAGCACGGCCTTCTTGCGGTCCTTCACGCTGCTGATCTGCGGGAAGTACACATCCAGGGCCAGGTACAGCAGGCAGGTGAGGAAGGCCAGCACGCCCACGGTCACACCGTAGCCGCAGGCATTGGGGTTGCGGTTGTAGATGCAGAACTCCTCCTCCTCCTCCGGGTTGTTGAGGTAGCCCTCATTCACGATGGAGCCGAAGACCACAATGGAGAAAACCTGCAGGCGAAGGGGAACAGGCGTGAGCACAGGGAAGCTCCCCTCCCCTGTCAGCGGTAGCCTGGCTCACTGTGAACATAAGGCAGGAGGTATCACGCAGAAGGCCCAGACTGGGAGGGCCACTTACTTGAGGCCGCACAGCACAGGCAGCATCAACCATTTCCTAATACCATAGCACATGCAGCCTCTCCCACCACCTGACACCAAGGGTCCCAGGGCTGACTGGGACCCCAGAGTAGGGAACGTGGGTCCTCCTCAGTCATACACCTTCCACTCCCCTGTCCAGGTCAACTACCATTCCTGTCACCTGCCCGGCTCGGTACAGTGTGGCTCTCTGAAATGGCTAGGGCTATTCCAGGCTAGTCCAAGAGTTCTGGTCCTACCCGGTGTATCCCATGAGCCACTTCACTTACAGCCATAGCCAACCCTGTTCACTTCAGCTGGACGGACAGCTAGCTCAACCCATGTCTTGCTGGCACACCCTACAGTCACTGACCTGGTGATCTGCTTCTAACGGACAAAATGTGGTTTGAAAGTGTCTGGACTCAAAAAAATAAAATAAAAATAAAAAAAAAGCTGGGCGTGGCAGCCAGCACTCGGGGAGGCAGAGGCAGGCAGATCTCTGGGAATTCAAGAACAGCCTGGTCTAGAAAGCAAGTCCAAGACAGCCAAAGCTACACAGGGAAACCCTGTCTTGAAAAACAAACAAACAAAAAAAGCATACATACTCATGAGGGCCCACCGGCTCTGAGGAGCTACAGGTGGCCATGACTGCTGGAGGAAGGGCAGCCATCTTCCTCACAGTGTGGGACTGATGGACTGTGTCTGGCCAAGTATATAAACCCCTACCACGCTCATGCAAGCAACCTACGCAAAGACAGTGCTGGAGAGATGGCAAGCAGTTAAGAGTTTGCTCTTCTTCCAGAGGGCCTGGGTTCAGTTTCCAGCATCCATTTCCAGTGGCTCACAACCATCTGTAAGTCCAGCTTTTTTTTTGGGGGGGGGGTCTGATGCCCCCTTCTGGCCTCTGTGGGTACTGCACCCACATAGCATACATACACATATGCTATACATACAAATGCACACACACATAAATAAATAGAATAAGCAAAGATTCGAAGGTAAGAACTTGTTGGGAAGAGAGGGCTCAGGAGGAGGGAGATGAAGGAATACCTGGGGAAGATATGACCAATGTCTATTCTGTTAAGTGTGACGTGATGAAAGGATCATTTAAGGGCTAAGGGATTGTTTACTACTCTCTGGTCTCCTGTCCCATCTGCTCTCCTGGAAGCTGACTGCTGTGTCTGAAGCTGCACCACAGATACCCACATGACAAGGGGCGGAGAAAAGTCTCTGGCTGGCAGCCTGACGGGAGCTGAAGGCCTCCATCAGCAGCCCACTAGGGAACTTGAAAGTGATGTAGAGCCATCACACGAGACCACAGCCCTGGTTGACACTGTGCCTTGTGTCAGAGACTAGAAGTTTCCTGACCCCCACAAACCGAGGTAACACACGGCCGCTGTTTTAAGGCCGTCAGTTTGGGGGCAATTTATTCTGTGGCAGCGGCTAACTAATATGTCGGTACCATCAGCGTTTTGTAGGCGGGGCCGTTAAAGGTGCTGCTATGAATGAATGTGCCTGAAGTTGCACAACTGATAAGTGACGGGAATGGGGCCCAAACACAAGAGACCTGCCTCTCACCTTCATGCTTACTCCTTGGGCTGCTCTTCTCCCAGGAAAACCATGCGTGGACGGGGAAAGGCCGGATCTCGGAAAGACACTGAAGAAGGCTTAGCACCCAAGTGTGGCCTGAGGCGGGCTGGAGGCGGAAGCTGGAGGCATTGCTGCTGTCCATTCCCACCCGCCATTGCTTTGCATCTCTGTGCGTGCCTGCATGTGTGTGTGTAAAGGCTAGAAATCAATATCCAGAGGCTTCACCTTACCCTCCCCTCCCCCGAGACAGGGTTTCTCCGTGTGACAGCCCTGGCTCTCCTGGACTGTCTTTGTAGACCAGGCTGGCCTCGAACTCGTGTGCCACCACACCCAGCTTTCACCTTACTCATAGAGACAAGATCTCTCACTAAACTTGGAGCCCAGTGATTCAGCTAGATGGACTGGATATAGTGAGCCTCTGAGATCCTCCGTCTCTGCCCGCCCATCACTACTAGAACAGGCTCTCGACACTGTGCCCGGCTTTCAGATGAATACTAACGAGGGACGGAAGGCAGGTCCTCGTGCCTGCACAGCAAGAACTTACCAACTGAGTCATCTCCTCAGCTCCTACTTTCCGTTTATTTAAAAATATTTTTTAGCAGGGCACAGTGGCCCACACTTGTAATCCCAGCACTCAGGGAGGCAGAGGGAGGCAGATCGCTGTGAGTGTCAGGCCAGCCTGGTATACAAAGTGAGTCCAGACAGCCAAGGTAACACAGTGAAACCCTGTCTTAAAAAATTTTTTTTTTCTAAATTTTATGTGTAGGGATGTTTGTCTGTGCAGCACAGAGACCAGAAGAGGGCGTCAGATTCCCCCTGGGATTGAAGTCACCACACAGATGGTTGTGAGCCACCACATGGGTGCTGAGATTCGAACTGTTGGCTTCCAGAAGAGCATCCAGCGTTCTTAACTGATGAGCTATCTCCTCAGCCCCTTTTTTCATTTTTCTATAAAGAACTATCACCTCAGTATTAACCAGGCATGGTCCCTGCCACAGCTGACACCCAGGAGGAGGAGGAAGGAAGGGGTGAGGTGGACTAGGAGGGAACTCTGAGAACCATTCACACTGTTTTCTTGCCTTCTCGAATATCTACACCATCATATGACAGTGGTTCCATTCAGCTGCTGCCTCGTGACATCGCCTGGGGCCCCTGTGCACTGGGATGTTTGAATGCTTTAATGTGCACCTCCATGAAGAAGCTGCACTTCACAAGACACTGAAGGATGCGGAGCACTGCAAGATACAGAAGACAGGGAAAGCTGCACTCGGAGGATTTGTGCAAGTTTTTCCCGAGAAGAGAAAGAAGGAGCTTTGAGACGACCAGCTCAGGACACTAAAGGAAGATTATGGTCTTCTAGAAAAATTATCTTCTGGTGAGAGGGCTCAGTGGATAAAAGTGCTTGCAGCGCAAGCTCAGTGACCTGAGTTCGATTCCCGGGCCCCACATAAAGATGGAAGGAGAGAAACAACTCCGCAAAACTGACTTCCCCCTGGGCGCTGCGGCACACTCGTAAATACACACATATACACAGGGGATGTAGGTCATTGGTAGGTTAGGTGCTAGCTAGCCTGGCACTTAAAAAAACAAAAAACAATACCAAGCTCTCCACGTGGGGAGGTTTGCACACCAAGAGCCGGGCATGCCTCAGGAGTAAGAAAGAGGGCCTTTCAGTTTGCTTTCCTTCCCTGGAGGCTATGGGCAAGAAGAAACAATGGCAGAGGCCTCTCTTGAGCAACACTGCCCGAGAGCTGCGTGCTCAGATGCTTGCTTCCTGTGGCCGGAAAATATACCACTGCAGCAGGAGCTGACAAGAGCGGGCCCCACTTCTCAAAAGCAAGGAAAATGGGCTCCCCAAAGGCTGGAAAGAGGAGCTGGAGTGAGTTGGGGAGAGGGCGGAGAAGCAGGCAGGCGGAAATCTGGGCCTTGGGGAAACTGAAGAGGAACCATTAAGGCTGAGTGTCTAAAGGGAGCTGGGCAGAGTCCTTGGAGAGACCAGGAAAAAAATGCTGGAGACATGTGTCCCCAGGAGGGTGAGGAGCAAGATCAAAACACCCTCAGAAGGACAGGAACAGGGCGGCTTGTGGCCCCACAGCAGGCTCCGGCTTTGGTCAGGCACTCAGCACAGGCTGTAGGCTTCCTCGTGCCTGGAACCTTGCAGAAATGGGTATTGAGTACACTAGGACCTTCCTGTGGGGAATGACCCTGGGGGGGTACAAGTCTGTTCAGAGAATCCCTGCCTGCCTTGGGTCTAGCTAGCAACTTTAGCTGTGCAATTTCACCTCTCTGAACTCAAACTCAAGGGGAACAACAACAGCCCAGGGCTCCCGATGTACTTTGAGGGATGAAGGCCATACATGGCAAGCCTGTGGAGGCAGGGGAAAAATGACCCAAGTGAGTGTCACAGGTATTGGACTGATGTACAGCAAGGGGAGTGGATGCCCAGGGTGACAGGAGGCTCAGGTTGTGGAGAAGGTCAAGAGGATGCAAAGGGAAGGGAAGGGTCCTGAAGACAGGCCCTTGGAGATGGTCTGGGAAGGAGCCAGCTGTGCTCGGACCTGGGACACACATAATCCAGGCAGAGAAAAGGAGGCAGAGAGACTGGATGGACCAAGGAGATGATGCAGGAGTGGGAGGGAGGGTAAGAGCTGCAGCAGTCATTAGTGATGGGTGGGACACAGGCCTGATGGACTGTGTCTTTGGGTGCAATGAGCACAGGATTCTGAAGGAGCTGGGTGACAAGGCCAGGCTCTGAATCACAGCACCCTTCTCACTGGTCCTGCTCCCTCCAACATAGCCCCAGGTCCCTTTTGGGGTTCCTCTCTGCCATATGGATACATCCTTAGTTTCTAGGTACAGAGGCCAACTGGGCACCAGCCCCATTCATTTCTGGGGGCTCTGCTCCCCCTCAGCAATGTGCTTCCTCCCTTCCTCTCCCTGCCCTAGGCTCCTTCCTAGGTCTTCTTCCTTGGAGACATCCTAGCACAGGTCACACCCCACACGTGACATTGGTCTCTGTGACAGGTGCAGGGAGAGGTCACAGACTTCATGGGTACACAGATTTCAGGGTACACTGCACAGGGTGGGGCCTGGGAGGCCTCTTCCTGGAGCTGACTGTTTAAGTCATTCAACAGCAACTCCTGAGCAACCTGTATGTGCACCTACACCAAAACGACGAGGCAGGCAAGGTCCCTTCTCACGCTGAAGGAGACAGGTACGTACGTGAAATGTACCACAAAGAAGCATTAAGCAGCACAGAAGGAGACAGAGTGTGTTGGGCAGGTGGA